TCTCTGGACCTTCACTGCTCTCCTGGGCTCCCCACAACCCCAGCGCTGAAAATCATGACACAGACCTCCTCTGCTGACAGTTCCCCACCCTTATTTTGGGTGTCGACTGCCCTTCCTCCCTCCTTCCCTGGGATTCAGCCGCAACACACGAGAGCCCACACCAGGATCTGACTCTGAGGAGCCCTCTGCCTCTTGCCTAGAGGAAGACTTTCCCCCTTGGTGGGAAGGAGAGGCCTAGGCAAATGTTCTTCTAAACCAGACTTATGCCAAAACCTTGAACTTTAGAAGTTAAAAAATATTCTAATTATTTTGTTTCTCTTTGTATTTCTATTGTGGCCTTCCTTTGGAAGGGTTATGGGGAAAACAAAGGGATTGCAGGGTAAGTCATACAAGGCCAAATTACAAATGCGAAAGGCCCTGTGATCTAAGAAAAATACGGCACTCTGCATCCTATAATCCAAAATAAAATCTGTATTTAACGAAACAGCATTGATTATAAAATAAATGTAAAGAACTCCAACAGGCCAGGCGCAGTGGCTCACACCTGTGATCCTAGCACTTTGGGAAGCCAAAGCATCATTTGAGCTAAGGAGTTCAAGACCAGCCTGGGCAACATATATTATTTATATATACTATTATATATTATATCTAATATCTATAACTGTTAAAAAATATATTTTAAAGATATAACTCCAATGAGCCCTGATTTTTCTCATGCTTTTTTTTGTGTTTAATATTAGATTCCTTCAAAAAGGAATGCACTTTCTCATTCAACCCTGGCACTGAAAACACAATTCTTACCCACCTGTTAAGGGGCAAAGGAACCAAGCTGCAGAGTCCATAGGGTTACTCATGGTCATTTTCAATGACTGACACTCGGTCCACTGTGTTCAAGTACAGGATTCACACAAGACCAAGCGGCTATTTCGCTGGGAGAGATCACTGATGCAGCCAGAGGTGATGGTTGGGAAGGCAGAAGACTGGTTCTTGGTGCAGCCCAGTTTTTGTCTTCCCGGTAACCAGGCTGGATCCAGGGAGCTGCAGCACATGTTAAAAGTATTTAGCTAGATATTGCTGTGTAATAAACCACTCTGGAACTCCATGGCATGCACTACTAAGCATTTATCGCGCTCCCAGGCTTACAGATCAGCGGGGCCTTCGTACATTGGACAGGGGGAGGCTGGAGTAGGCTCTGCTCTACTTTCTCTTGCTCTTCGGAGGTCATGGGCTAACCAGGGCGTATTCTTCTCATTGGTGGCAGAAGCCAGAGAGGGGTTAGCAGAAACACAAGAGTTTGGGCTCAGGCTCAGAACTGGTACTGAGTGACTCCCACCCACTGGGCACTTTGGATGAGAAGTGCACCCAGGGCAGCATTAGCAGCTATCTCAGGCACCAGCACCCTCTGCAGTTGGCTCTCCTGTGGCTGCACCCCTGGCAGCCGGGTCTGATGACCCAGATGGCAACCACTGTAACTGGTGTGGCTGTGGGCTCTGCTGTCGGGCACACACAGAGTCACAGTGAGAACCCCTCCACCGTCTCTACAAAAAATTTTAAAAACTTAGCCAGCCGTGGCGGTGCACGCCTGTAGTTCCAGCCACTCGAGAGGCTCTCAAGAGGATCGCTTGGCCGGGCGCGGTGGCTCAAGCCTGTAATCCCAGCACTTTGGGAGGCCGAGATGGGCGGATCACGAGGTCAGGAGATCGAGACCATGCTGGCTAACACGGTGAAACCCCGTCTCTACTAAAAAATACAAAAAATTAGCCGGGCGAGGTGGCGGGCGCCTGTAGTCCCAGCTACTCGGGAGGCTGAGGCAGGAGAATGGCGTGAACCCAGGAGGCGGAGCTTGCAGTGAGCTGAGATCTGGCCACTGCACTCCAGCCTGGGCGACAGAGCGAGACTCCGTCTCAAAAAAAAGAAAAAAAAGAGGATCGCTTGAGCCCAGGTCAAGGCTGCAGTGAGCCGTGATGTACTCCAGCCTGGGCAACAGAGTGAAGACCCTGTCACAAACAAAACAAAACAAAACAAAACAAAAAAAAAAACCAGCCCTAGGCATACTTTTGGCAGATTTTCCTAGAGCTGACTCAGTAGCACAAGGGTGCGCATTGGGACTGAGATCCACAGGCTGGCTGTGAGACTGAGCTGATCCCTTTACGATTCTGGAGCTACACTTTGGGAGTTCTAAAATAAGATAAGGTGTACCAAATAGTTTCTTAGGTTCCTCCAGCGTGCGCGCACGCACACACACACACGCAATCTATGGGCTGATGTTCTGCAGAATGCCTCCAGTAGCTGGAGAGGCTGGGGGTGGCGTTCTCCACTCCATCAGTCTCACAGATATTCTGTGCACCCCATGGAGAGATGGGGTCCCTATATTTCCCACTAAGACCAGGAGTTACAATGCCCAGAGATCATGTTCTGTAAGTATTCCTTGACTAAGAAAGGGTTAAATTACCTAATGCCTCCAAAATACTTCAATGCTGAAGAACAGCACTTGTATAGCCCAAGTTCTTCGCTGCCTGAATTAACTTGTCTTCTAAAGTTTTCATGAAAGACTGGGCTTCTGCTTAGGCAAGAGGCCTGCAGTACTGGGCTGACTCTTAAGAAACCGCCAGATCACTTGAGGCACCCACTAGAAATGCACACGCCCAGGCTGCTGGGCAAACCACAAATCTGCTAAAGCAGAATCTCTGATGGTGTGGGGCACAAGGACCTACACTTTCAGTAAGTGGCAGTGGCTGGGTGATTATTCCAGCCTCCTCTCATTTCCCCTCGAGTCATCTTAGCAGGGATCCTATAAAATAGGGTTCCTCAACAGGAACAGTGCCTGCGTCCTGGAGATGGCAGGAGCTCACATTTCTAAAGGAAGGACAGGAGCATGTGACTCTCAGCAGGAGGCGGCAGACCTCCAGGCTGTCTCACTGCAGAGGCAGAAATGTGAATAACCAGTGCAGTGGTTCTCAAAGTCCAGTCCCTGCGCGGGCAACCGCAGCATCACCTGGGACCTTTTTGGAAATGCAAATTCTCAACACCCATCCCAGAGGTACCCAGAGTCAGAAACGCGGGGGTGGGGCTGGGCACCTGTTTTGACAAGACTTCAGGTGACTCTGATACCTGCTAAAGTGGGAGAACCACTGACACATGGAAGTGACAGCCAGGGAGGTGGGCACCTGAGACCTCAGCACATCACTCCAAAGGCCTCTCAACACTGAAGACACCTAAGAGATTTCTGCAATTTTTTCTCAGAAAGTTCTCTCCCCTTCATGACTTTTGGCTTCCCCAGAGTAGCCCTGAGGGCCAACTCCCTTCCTGTTCCTTCTGGTCACTTCTTCCTTGATAGCTGGTCTCTCTCCCACAGACCAAATTTCCCTTGGAAATGCAGCACTGGGGACATGAAGCTCAAATTGGACTTTAGAGCAGAAGCTCTTGAAGTAAAAACTTCAGGAGGGAACATAATAAAAACCTGAGTTAAAAATCCTAGGCTTGTAGTCCCAGCTACTCGGAAGGCTGAGACAGGAGAATTTCTTGAACCAAAGAGGTGGAAGTTGCAGTGAGCCGAGATCGTGCCACTGAACTCCAGCCTGGGCGACAGGGTGACACTGTCTCAAAAAAAAAAAAAAAAAAAAAGTACTGGGCATTCCTCTGAGTCATTAGAGAAGAGTGGGCCATCAGCTGACAAGGGTGGGGAATGGCTGATCCTGTGCCACTTCCTGCAGGTGGGCCCCAAATGAGATGGAATGTGAGTGTGCTGGCGCAGTCAGCACCGGGACAGCCCTCACCCTGCCCCTGCTCAAACACCACCTTGAATGTGGACTTTCTCTTTATTAATGAAGGCTGACCTCCCCTCTACTAATGACAGTTGGGACAATTATGTGGGATCCTTAAACAAATCCCCAAATGAAATCTTAGACCTCCTAATTGTGAAGTCAGTCACAGGAAGCGGTCACTCGTGTTACCACTCTTCCATAATTGCTGGCTAGGGAAAAAATGAACCCAAACTCCAACTCCAGTTGTTGAAATAACAGCCAGAGCCGGGCGCGGTGGCTCAAGCCTGTAATCCCAGCACTTTGGGAGGCCGAGACAGGCAGATCACAAGGTCAGGAGATCGAGACCATCCTGGCTAACATGGTGAAACCCTGTCTCTACTAAAAAATACAAAAAACT